GCAGTTCCTTTGGCTGAAGTCCCAGGTCCCTTCAGCACTGGAGAAATAGTAGCACCTTCCTTCGTACCCAACCCAGCTTTTAGGGCATGAAATGGTATATAGTAAAAAAACGGAGCTAGTTGGTGACTTGCCAGCGGCTGGTTTGTTCCGAACTACAAGTAAGAAAACAATGTTAAATAGGGCTGGCAGCTTGATTTAAAGTTAGGCATATTAATTTTAGCAGATTAAATAACTTTGTGTGTGAATATAAACAAGTAAGAACAATGATTCTGAAGCAAGGATTTGCTTTTAGCCATGACGAATTTAGATTTGCAGTGGCTGGCAGTGGTTCTGCAGCCAGGATCTCGAGCCTACTAGCTGACTGTATTTGCAGAGTGCAAAGGCACCAGGTAAGGAAGAAGCTTGTGCTGCCTTGCCTGACCAGGCAATTCCTAGTACGTGCTTTCTTCAGTATTTGGGGTGGGTGGGAGGCACCTTATACCAGAAGAATGGAAGGAGCTCAGCCATGGAGTGTGGGACCCCTCAGCTCTTCGCATGAGCCCTGAAAGACCCAGGGGAGCCAATCCCTGTAATTATGTCTTCACAAGGAGGACAGCACCTATCCAGGAAAGGGGGACAAAATTTCTAAGGCAATACTTGACACCCATTTTGGGGAGGAGGTCATCATAACTTGTATTTAAATAGTATTACAATAGCTCAAGAGTGATCCCCCCTGGAGAAGGAAATGGCAACCCACTCCAGTACTTTTGCCAAGAAAACCCCATGGACAGTATCAAAAGGCTAAAAGATATGACGCCGGAAGATGAGCCCCTCAGATCGGAAGGTGTCCAATATGCTACTGAGGAAGAGCAGAGGGCAAGTACAAGTAACCCCAGAAAGAGTGAAGCAGCTGGGCCAAAGCCGAAAGGGCGCTCAGTTGTGGATGTGTCTGATGGTGAAAGGAAAGTCCGATGCTGCAAAGAACAATACTACACAGGAACCTGGAATGTAAGATCTATGAATCAAGGTAAGCTTGACGTGGTCAAAAATGAGATGGCAAGACTGAACATCGATATCTTAGGAATCAGTGAACTAAAGTGGACAGGAATGGGCGAATTTAACTCAGAAGACCATTATATCTACTACTGTGGCCAGGAATCTCGTAGAAAAAATGGTGTGGCCTTTATAGTCAACAAGAGAGTGCAAAAATCAGTACTGGGATACAATCTCAAAAATGACGGAATGATTTCTGTCCGATTCCAAGGCAAACCATTCAACATCACAGTAATCCAAGTCTATGCCCCAACCCTTGATGCAGAAGAGGCTGAAGTGGACCGGTTCTATGAAGACCTACAACACCTCCTAGAACTAACACCAAAAAATGATGTCCTCATCATCATAGGGGACTGGAATGCTAAAGTAGGAAGTCAAAAGGTAACCGGAATAACAGACAAGTTTGGCCTTGGAAAGCAAAATGAAGCAGGGCAAAGGTTAACAGAGTTTTGTCAAGAGAACACACTGGTCATAGCGAACACCCTTTTCCAACAACCTAAGAGGCGACTCTACACATGGACATCACCAGATGGGCAACACCGAAATCAGATTGACTATATAATTTGCAGTCAAAGATGGAGAAGCTCTATCCAGTCAGTAAAAACAAGACCTGGAGCTGACTGTGGTTCAGATCATGAGCTACTCATTGCAAAATTCAGACTTAAACTGAAGAAAATCGGGAAAACCATGAGGCCATTCAGGTTTGACCTAGATCACATCCCTGATGAATATACAGTAGAGGTGAAGAATAGATTCAAGGGTCTGGATTTGATAGATAGAGTGCCTGAAGAACTATGGACGGAGGTTCGTGACATTGTACAGGAGGCAGCAATCACCACCATACCAAAGAAAAAGAAATGCAAGAAAGCAAAATGGCTTTCTGATGAGGCTTTACAAATAGCAGAGGAAAGAAGGAAAGCGAAAGGCAAAGGCGAAAAGGAAAGATTTACCCAACTGAACGCAGATTTCCAGAGAACAGCAAGGAGAGATAAGGAGGCCTTCCTGAATGAACAGTGCAAAGTAATAGAAGAAAACAATAGAATGGGAAGGACTAGAGATCTCTTCAAGAAAATTGGAGAAATCAAGGGAGCGTTCCATGCAAAGCTGGCCATGATAAAGGACAAAAACGGTAGGGACCTAACAGAAGCAGAAGAGATTAGGAAAAGATGGCAAGAATACACAGAAGAACTATACAAGAAAGACCTCGATGTCCTTGACAACCACGACGGTATAATCACTGACCTCGAGCCAGACATCCTGGAATGTGAAGTTAAATGGGCCTTAGAAAGCATTGCTAACAACAAAGCTAGTGGAGGTGATGGTATCCCAGCTGAGCTATTCAAAGTCTTAGAAGAGGATGCTGTTAAAGTTCTGCACTCCATTTGCCAGCAAATTTGGAAAACGCAACAGTGGCCACAGGATTGGAAAAGATCAGTATACATTCCAATCCCAAAGAAGGGCAATGCCAAGGAATGTTCAAACTATCGCACAATTGCACTCATATCACACGCTAGCAAGGTCATGCTCAAGATCCTACAAGCTAGGCTTCAACAGTACGTGGATAGAGAACTACCAGAAGTACAAGCTGGGTTTCGAAGAGGTAGAGGAACGAGAGATCATATTGCCAACATTCGCTGGATTATGGAGAAAGCAAGAGAGTACCAGAAAAATATCTACTTCTGCTTCATTGACTATGCTAAAGCCTTTGACTGTGTGGATCACAACAAACTATGGCAGGTCCTTAAAGAGATGGGAGTACCAGACCACCTCACATGTCTCTTGAGAAACCTGTATAAGGGCCAAGAAGCGACAGTTAGAACCGGATACGGAACAACTGATTGGTTCAGCATAGGAAAAGGAGTACGACAAGGATGTATACTGTCACCTTGCTTATTTAATATATATGCAGAGTACATCATGCGAAATGCTGGCCTGGATGAATCACAAGCGGGAATTAAGATTGCTGGGGAAAAGATCAACAACCTCAGATATGCAGATGATACCACTCTAATGGCTGAAAGTGAAAAGGATCTAAAGAGCCTCTTGCTCAGAGTAAAAGAGGAGAGCGCAAAAGTGGGCTTGAAGCTCAACATCAAAAAAACTAAGATCATGGCATCCGGTCCCATCACTCCTTGGCAAATAGAAGGGGAAGTCGTGGAAGTAGTGACAGACTTCACGTTCCTGGGATCCCAGATCACCGCAGACTACAGCCATGAAATTAAAAGACGCCTGCTACTTGGGAGGAAAGCGATGGCGAACCTAAACAGCATGATAAAAAGTAGAGACATTACCCTGCCAACAAAAGTCCTCATGGTCAAAGCAATGGTATTCCCAGTAGTCATGTATGGCTGCGAGAGTTGGACTATAAGGAAGGCCGAGCGCCGAATAATAGATTCTTTTGAACTATGGTGCTGGAGAAGACTCTTGAGAGTCCCTTGGACTGCAAGAAGATCAAATCAGTCAATCCTAAAAGAAATCAACCCTGACTGTTCCCTGGAAGGCCAGATAATGAAACTGAAGCTCAAATACTTTGGCCACCAAATGAGAAGGGAGCACTCACTGGAGAAGACCTTGATGCTGGGAAAGATTGAAGGTCAAAGAAGATGGGGACGGCAAAGGATGAGATGGTTAGACAGTATCATAGATGCAACGAACATGAAATTAAGCAAACTTCAGAGGACAGCGGAAGACAGGAGGGCCTGGCGGGATCTGGTCCATGGGATCAGACTGTGCGACTGAACAACAACAAACAATAGCTCTCGCTCTCTCTCTCTCTCAGCCCATTTCATATGTTCAGCCCAATAATGAAATATGTGATTCATTGTGTTATTGTGTCACACACATAGCCATCTGTGTAAAGTCTTCATTCCCCATGTTCTGATCTGGGGAGTAGCTAGGGATGGGTAGGGCCGATTCATGCTCCTCCATAAGGAATGGCAAGAATTCACATCTTGGTATTAGTAATCATTAACCAGGCAGTAGAACCCCTGCCAACCTAGCAGTTCAAAAGCAAGAAATTGCAAGTAGATAAATAGGTACCACTTCGGTGGGAAGGTAACAGCGTTCTGTGCGCCTTGGCGTCTAGTCATGCCAGCCACATGACCACGGAAACGTCTTTGGACAGCACTGGCTCTTCGGCTTGGAAACGGAGATGAGCACCACAACCCTAGAGTTGGATTCGACTGGCTTTCAAGCAAGGGAAACCTTTACTAGAATCCCAGTCAGGAACCAATTATCAAACTGTTTTTGAACTGAAATGAAATAGTTAACAAGGAAGCAGCTGATTAAGTCTTTATTAATTATGTGCGTACTACTGAAAACAGCCTCTTTTATGGCTTTGTGTTTAAATGCATAAAAATAGCAAATCTGCTACTCTCCTCTGTTCAGAAACACCTTCAGGGCACAAATGCAACATAATTTGCAGTGCATTGAATGCTGAGCAAAAATTTTGCTCTGATTTTCTCAGTGGACAGTACATATGGAGAAGTCATATAAGTAACATTCTGGATACTGTTTTAGTAAGAGTTAGAATCCAGGAATCCTATGGGTGTGGCCAGCCATATAATGTCTTCTATCCAACCACTTGGCCAGGAAGGAGAACAGTGCTTGGTTGACAAGCACCTGTCCTCACCTCCATATGATTCCTTCATTCAAAATGCTTCTCAGGATGGAGTGGGAAAAAGGTACAGAGAAGTGGCTCTCAGCTTGCGGTCACACGCTCCAGTTGGTGCAGAGGGGGAGCAAGCCTATTTCCTCTGGAGGAATTTGTCACGCAGTTGCAAGATCACACATCCTTTGAAGCTGTAGGCTCAGCCCATCACTGCCCGATCTGAGTGGGGTTTTGGTTTTTGTTTTGCCTTTTGTTTCCCATGCACATAAATGAGAAATTGCACCTCTGCACTGAGGGTTCCCCATGGAGTGTGTGTTGATGTGCATACTGCTCAGCGAGGGTGGGGGGAATGGCACCAAGTCGGGATGGACTGATCAGACCATCCCGATGGCATGAGTGCGTGCTTGAGCAATCAGACAGGGGAAAGTCTGTCCGTGGCCTGCCGGGACCGGTTGGAGCTGGACTTTCCCCGATGTCTTTTAACTCCACTTCTGTGGTGGAGCAGCATGGGTTGCTGATGACTGGGGGATGTTTCCCAGATGTTGCTGTCTGATAGTGCCTTTTAGATCTGTCAGGCATTCGCAGCTGAGTCAGATCTAAAGGCGCGTGTGATCACAGCCTCAGACAGCTATCAAGAAGTGTGGCTTAGAAGCC